ACATTTTACAATAAAATAAAAATATGAGCAGTTACATAAATATATCAATTTGTTGTAATAAAACACAAGAGAGAGGGAAAAAGAGAGAGAGAGAGAGAGAGAGAGAGAGAGAGAGAGAGAGAGAGAGGAGGAGGAAGAGAGAAAGAGAGCAAGAGAGAGAGAGAGAGAGAGAGAGAGAGAGAGAGAGAGAGAGGAGGAAGAGAGAAAGAGAGCGAGAGAGAGAGAGAGAGAGAGAGAGAGACAAAGTTGTGGTGCAGTCTGTTAATTGAAAATCATAAGTACAAGTAATCGCGATTGTTACAACGGTACAATATTGCTAATCCAAATATCATTTTTTTTTATAATGTCGATAACCTTCGTGGTCTTACATTTGCGATGATTTTCTCAAAGCGATGTGATATATGTATCGCCATACATATGATATACCATTCTCAAATGTTTATCGATCGATTTAATGTTCACGACCTATGCTTCGGAAACTTCTCCGATTTTACCGTTACACTAGTCGCATTTTCCTTCTCGTCTACAAACTATTCGCTCTCGCAGAGTAAGCCTCATCCCAGCTCGTCCTGAAATCCTGAGCAGGAACAACGGCGCACTTTTTAGATGTTCGTAACATATGGATAAATATCCCCACGAATATTTATCATGCGGTGCGACGCAGCGCAACGTTGTCACGTCTGAGAAAGAGAACTGCGAATTTAGGCGATCCATACACGAGAGAGTCAGCGGCGCCACGGGTGTGCTCGCGGCATCTCGGTAAACGCGAGAACATACTCGTCCTAACACACCTGAGTTGCCGAGAGAGATGCTTCAAAGAGAAAAAAGAGAAGAAAGAGACAAGAAAGAGCACAGGACTCACATCAGGACAGGAGGGAAGGTGGCGGGCGACCTATTAGGGTGACTCTAAACACTTTTTAAATCGCACGTTAGAGAAACGGTATATCGGACGAGTGTTAGACGTGCAACAATGACGCGGACAAACATCCGAATATACAGGCCCACCCGCGGCGTACTGCTACGCGAGGGACGTATAGCTATGCACGATGCTGTGTGCCGCACGGTAGCGCAGGTAATGTTTGGATGGACGTGCGTAAACGAGAAGCGCGAGGAGCAAAGATGAATGAACGGCAAAGGCGAAAGAATTTGTATTTGTTGACAGTGAGAACTCGGCAACTCGAAGCCGGTAGCCATTAGGGCCTAGACCGTTTAGAAAGTTACGGATGACGATATAGATGTTATTTACAATAGCCGAAATTGGCCATCATACAAAACGTAACTGTGTGAAACGTAATTTCGTAAATATACGATACCTGAATCATCCAATGATTATAAGAGCAAATCAAAATTTTTCACAAACAATGCATCTGAGATCTTTGCCACTTTCTTTGCTTAACCACACGCTGAGAAGCGTTTGTTTATTTTTTAATCCTGTAAATGTTTCATTTTGCTTTATTTATTTTACAATAATGGAACGCACGTGTTAACATAGTAACAGTTTGGTCTGCGATAATAGCTTACTAGTCGATTCGCATGAGCGATAACAGGAAAGTCAAAATTCGAGAAGGAAAATTTCAGACAAAATGATTTATTTATCTTGCAGGCGAGTACAAGTGGTTCTCTTCAAAAGAGCAGTTTTGTCGGCGTTTCCTTTTATGTCAAAATTCGATCTAATGATGAGAAGCCACTGTTGTAATCCGAGATTAAGGTGGGCCAGTGTAATCCGTGTGCGTTCAGGGAATCGTTTAGTCCCGGTTATAGAAGCAAAGTCACCCCCCAATAATATCGCCTGCAATAGGTCCGCTTGACAGCGAACAATTCAATAGGGATCGCGAATGGAAGAAAAGAGAAGGAAGGAGAGAAATTGTGAAGACGAAAATAAGAGCAGCAAAGAAATATCTGCGCACGAAGCGGCTGCCGTGAGCACCGAACCGATACCTGCTTGAAATATCGAATGAAGGAACGATGATAGATGTTTATTATATCAATATAAAACATCGAACATCCTAACAGAAATTTATCACTATTATAGCTATAATAAATTGGTGATAATAAGTAATTTTATTATTCGTACAAGTAATTTTATTATTCATACAAGTAATAAAAATTACTTATTATATAATAAAATTATTTGTACGAGTAATAAAATTATTTATTATTATTGGCCAATTTATTACAATCAATAATAAATTTCTGTAAGGATAGTCTTTGGTAATACAAACAAGCTTCGTTGAGAACGCATTTGAAATATCTATAATTTATTGAAACTAGTTTACTATCACGCATGGTTGTCACTCATTATATTTTAATTATTATATAATAACTATGAAAAAATCTTTCTTTATATATCATAGTATTAATGACGTTGACACTAATCGTGAAACAATTCATAGTTTGCTAAATAAATATTGTTGACCGATTATTTCGTATTTCGACAACGGTTTATGAACAAAATAGTTCAGAATAAAGATAAAATTGTTAACATACGTGTGAAACTTTTCTCTCTCAATTGCAAAAATCTCGACTGAAACTGATGGAAAGTATCTTCATCCGTAAAAAAACAATTAAATATTGAGAAAAGGAGACAAGCAGACAGACAAACAGAGAGATAGGGACGTTTGAAACGGAATAAAATTTTGCACCCTCACGAGAAAGACCCGTCGCACAGAGCTCAGAGTGATAGACGAGGAGAGAGAACGGCAAAGGAAACTTTAGGAAAGAACTCGCGGTATAGCTCGTGGTCATATATCTACAGAACGGTAGGGGGGTGTCAACGAAGCTTCGACGAATGCCCCAGCGGGGTTTCCGCTACCCGCCTGCTACTGAAACTTTTCTAGTGTGAGAATCCGTCGCACTTAATGCCAAGCTACCGCGATAGCTTCTCAGATTATTCAATCTTGTCCATCACGCGTTTGTATCCGTGTTACGTCTCGAATGAAAGCTGAGAATTCCTCTTCCTCGCTGTTGTCATATTAAATCGTGACGTCGAAAACGAATGATCTTCTCTCTTTTGCATTGTAACATTGAAATAGATTAGATTTTTTCCGCACATTTGCCATCATTAGACTAATAAAATATTCGATTCTTTCATTTTAGAATAAATCAATAAGTTGCAAATCTCGATAAATTGTTATGAGATCCATTTCTTAAAAATGTGAAATTAATATAGATTGAATTATATGACTACTGCGAAAAAATAAAAAAAAAAATACTGAAAGTTCTTGATATATTTCACCAATCTGTACTATCAAATTGAAAAATTAAGCAATTTCAATGTACGCGATTTCTTAATTCAGTACAACTGCGACTGAGGGGAGAGGGGGGAGGGAGCTTTAAAGCTAGCCCGTGACTGGCTCGAAGTAGATTACCGAAAAAAGTAATTGCGGCTAAAATTTTTTTAGCCCCCTCTCACCCTTCTGCAAGGATTGCGAACTCGAACGTAACCGCGAAACATCCCGTATATACTCATTGTAATGGAAAAAAAACGGAAGAGGGCACACACACAGAGCTGCGTATGGTAACCGTCCGTTGCCGAAAGGGCGCAGCCCACCAGCATTCTCCACCCCACACCCTTCAAAGCGCATCGTATAAACGAGCAAGGGGAATCTCTATTACTCGAGGGGTTGCAGTTGGCTGGTGGAGCCATCCTGAATTCAATCACCGCGAAAATGGTGGTGGCCTTGATGGCAGCGTCCATAAACGTGTGCTTTATTTTAATACGCGCCATTTGCGGCGCATAGATTTACTAAAAAATCAATGCAATAGTCAAGTGAGTATGTTTCAATATTAACAAAAAGTAACTTCGATAAATTCTTACTCAGTATCTTGGCCTGCGCTGAATGTGTCGTTTATGAAATTATCAACTTACGCTCCCGAACGTTTTAAATCTACAATTGCAATATAAAACTAATCAGCACGTAAACAAATATATGATAAAGCGTTGCAATTGTATGTATGTGATGGAAAGATGCAAATTTGAAAAACAATTATCGTCAAAATAAAAAAGATAAACACGACACGAAGACCGAACCAAACGATATTGATTTGTAAACATTTATTATTTTAACGACAGATAAATTTCTGTGTCAAATGTAATAAAATATATATATCGTGTGTATGTATCATGTCATACTAAGAAAGTTCAGTTTGACTTTCTGTTTTCAACTTTAAATTGGTCATCCCCTATGATAGATAGATATAAATGTTGGTTAAACCGTTGTTGACAAATCACAAATAACAATGATAATCGCTTAGTTGATAAATAATTGGCTTCTATTGAATAAAATAAGATTAAATTTGACTACAAAATCCAACCGAACTTTCCAACTAACGACGCATACATCCTTTGAATATTTGCATCGTATTAAATTTTACATAATATAATACATAGTATGTACATTATAATACATTATATTACTCTAATTTATATCCTCACAATACAGAAAGATGATTGATACCACTATGTAAAGTACAAAGATGGAAACGTCTGTTAAAAAATATTGCGATACTTCGTCGATTAAATATCGATTTTCGCCTCGTTTTGCAACGTTGTTCAGAATCGTTACGTAACGAAATTTCATCTAAATATAAGTGATAGTATCAAAAATATTTTGGTATCTAAAGTCATCAAGGCAACCGTGGTGCGTCACATTCTGTAAAATATAATAAATGATACATTATGTAGCGCAACACCATCACATACACGATCCACACATAAAAGCATATAATATAGTATAATATTGACAGCAAATTATGCAGAATAAATTTTCTCACTGAAATTTTATAAACATGACTAGAGAGAAACGAATCATACTATGCGTAAACTCATTGTCATCTTTTTTCAGTCTTAATGTATAAATCAAAACGAGAGATTCTTCTTTGCCACGCGCGTAACAAAAATTAATTGTGCAATATGTTCACATTCATCTATATATTCACTCCTAACTCTTCTCCGTTCGATGATTAACAGTATTCCACGCGTATCACTTCCGATCGGCCACTTTGTGTTTTCGATTATCGTGCTCTTATGAAAATTTGAGATTTAATAGTCTTGGCGACTAGTTTTTTTTTCTTTCTTTTATCAAAATACTCTGCATTAAACATGATACACATACGGCGAAAGTTCGCCGGTTTGCTGTAACTGGCTGATGGCGAGTACGCCTAGCGCTGCCGTCGGGATGCGGTATGGATCGCGAGGTTCATGAGTCCTTGTATGTTTCTTCAAATGATCCTTGCGACCAAATCGCTTACTACAAAGTAAGCAGCAATGCGGACGCACACCGGTATGAATTCGCTTATGTCTTGTGAGTTCCTCGTTCCTCGTGAATGATTTCTCGCAGGACTCAAAGTCACACTTGAACGGCCTCTCACCTGGAACAATGTAGATTGATACTATAGCTACGTATTTATAGCGTAGACTTAATGGAATTTTTATATATTTTAGAAAAAAGAATGCATCATATGTTTTCGAGATATATTTAATTTTGTCTCATCTTGAAGTATATATGTGGTGAGGTATATCAGAGAACTTTCCAGCTAAACTTCATCGGTATAAGTAGAAATAAGAAAGAAGAAGAAGAAGAAGACCGTTGGTATACCGTTAGTATAATATAAAATAGGGATAAAAGCCCTCGAAGGTGATAAATGTAATTTTTTTCTATCAATATCTTTAACTAAACTGTAGAATTTTGTATCTAAATGCTAGAATTGTTTTCCGATGGACAGTACATAGATATTCACTTTATCTACAACTTCTGTAATGGAAATGCTTGAACTAGAATGTTAATATCAGATTACATTAAGATTAATTTACATTACATTAATTTCAATTTGTTCTTATCAAAATAAAAATAAATCCGCATTTTATTTCGCTCGTATTTTATAGTTCTGTTTTAACTTTTTAATGAAGCCTAAAAATAATCTATATCGAAATGTTAATATTTTTCTTTTTTTATTTATAAAAGCTATTAACAAAATAGCGCCGAGAAATCCTGAAACATTATATATAATATAATAATTAAAAATTTAAATTATAATTAAATTATGATAAAAGATTAATTTGTTTTTACTACATCTGGACTGAAGAAAAATCCAATCAAAATTGAAACGTTTTCACGAAAACAATTTTTCTTAAGATTATTTTAACATACAAAATAGTAGTAAAAAATAATATATATACTTATATTTACTTCAGCTCGATTAAATTAAAAGACAGAGAGAGAGAGAGAGAGAGAGAGAGAGAGAGAGAGAGAGAGAGAGAGAGAGAGAGAGAGAGACAGAGAGAGAGAGAAAGAGATAGAAATAATAATTTACAAATTATATTCCACCATTTATACTAAATGACCAAAAAACATAGTACCAAATTTTAAAAATATGTATTCGTGAAAATAAACAAAAAGATCCTAATAAACAGTACTTCAAGAATCATTTCCGAGTTATAAAGCATTTTCTATTATAACAAACAAAAAAATATATTATAGCAATTTCTCTACTATATAACGTATTTACATGCGACTATTTATCTTTCACTTCTAAGGTCGAGCTTCTAAAGTCGACAAATAATGAATATTATCAACGTTTGATACATATATTTGTTAAGAGTTTCCAATTTTCTCATCAGTTCATCCACAAACACTAAGCATAGCCATCTATTATCGTTACATATCGATTGTTACACAGCTGATCGGAATTTACATTTTGCCTAATATATTAACAAGGGGAAAATATATCTTTTCCAAAATAACTTATTTGAACTTTTGGAAGATACTCGTCTACTATGTAGACGATAAATGTATTTCATACATGAAGGTGCCTTTGTTTATTTTCTAATGATTGTTAGATAACATTCAACCATTGTTTTCAAGAGAAATAGGTAGAACATTGTGGTCTAGTTGCGTAGCAGCTTCGTTCATCTTTTTAAATTTCTTGGACTTTCATTTATAGTAACATTTGAAGAGCATGATATATACCACATCATTTAAGACGTTGGATGAACTGACACAGAAGATTGTAAACTTGTCAAGAAACGCGAAATAAATAATTGTCAAGGAGTATAAAATAAACCTGAAATAGTGGAATGTATTCGATCTTCAATAAGAAAGCATGCCGACTTACATATATATTGAAATGAGTGGAGAGTACATTGAACACCTGCTGTAAACTAAATTTATTTTACATTTATTTGAGCAGAAAATGTTTTATTCGGAAATAAATTATTTTGTTATTGGTTATTGGAATATTGTTTATTAAAACTTTTTCATTTACTTTCACGTACTACATACTCCTAAAATTTGGTACCATTTTTTTGAGAACATTTCATATATTATAATTTATTTATATATTTATACATAATTATATCATATTTAATTTAAATGTACGTGTGTGTATTTGTGTATATGTGTATGTATTATCCCTATCTAGTGTTAATTAGAGATGTGCGAATCAAGAATTTTTATGTCGAATAGAATCGAATTGAATCTCATTTTTTAAATTCGAATTCGAATCGAATCGAATCTATGAAATTTCACTCGAATTCGAATCGAATCGAATGAAATCGAATCGAATAAAAAAATAAAATTAGAAAAAATTAGATAAAATCAAGAATAAAAAATTTAACAAGCAAATAATGATGAAAGATTTTAATATGAAAGGAAATATTAATATTGTAATATCATCTTAAAGTAAAATATATATTTAAATAATTAAAATAATTTATAATTAAGTTATTAATTATAAGTTAAGTTAATAAAAGTTAATTATAAGTTAAAGGTTCAAACATATCGCCCAGATCGCTCGTTCTGTAGCTGATGTACGCAAACGATAATGTATTTGATTCCTATTCGAATTATTCGGATTCGAATCATAGGAATTCGGATTCGAATTTGAATAGTTCGCACATCTCTATAATCAATGTATATCCCTATGTATATCCCTATCTAGTCAATAATAAATTACAATAAAAAATTTACTTAACACTAGAGATGTGCGAACTATCCGAATTCGAATCGAATCAAATCTAATATAATCCGATTCGATTCGAATCCGAATCTCTATGATTCGAATCCGAATAATTCGAAAATTTCGGATCGTGAAAATCCGAATACGAATCAAATACACTAGCATTTGCGTGTATCAGCTAAAACACGGGCCATCTGGGCCTATATGTTTGAACCCTTAACTTATAATTAACTTAACCTATAATTAATAACTTAATTATAAATTATTTTAATTCTTATTTTACTTAATTTATATTTTACTTTAAGATGATATTACAATATCAATATTCCCTTTCATATTAAAATCTTTCATCATTATTTGCATGTTTAATAGTCATGTTAAAGTTTTTAATGAGATTAGATTAATGAGATTATTTCGATTCGATTTCATTCGATTCGATTCGATGCGACATAAAAATTCTTAATTCACACATCTCTATTTAACACACACACACATACACAAACCTGTATGTATGCGAACGTGGCCTATGAGTTGACCGTTGTTGCTAAACGCCATATTGCAATGTTGACACCGAAACTTTTTGGGACGCATCTTCTTCATTTGTTTAACGGCGACATCCTGTCGATGAACCATCTGTACTGCCTCTTCGACGGATCGATTGTACAATCCAGAAGCAAGTATGCTCGAGTAGATGGACCCTGTTTGGGCTCCGCAATAAACTCCATTATGAACACCCAGATGAACCACCGGATATAAATTAGGAAAAGTATGAAGGAATTCAGGCACCATAGAATTTATTGCCGATGATAATTCCTCGGCACCCAGATTCGATGATAGTTCCGTAGTGTTCGGACTTACGAGTGGCGGTCTGGTAACATCTGGATTTGCAAACGACGACGATCCCAGTGTCGCAATGTCTGGATTTACGAAAGACGTACGTTCTAATGCACTTGATGACGTAGAACCTTCGTCCTCGGATACTGTTAAAGCAGCAGAGACACTATTTGTCAAAGTTGTTGACTTGGGCAGAGATCTTACGCTCTCATCGTCCTGTTTAGGTCCGTCGTACAATATTTTATCGACGGTAAACATTTTGGACGTCTCATTGATGGTATCCGAAGCAAGCCATGGCCGAAACAAGTCCTGAGGCATCCTCAGTTAGAAGTTAAACCGTGCTGTTGGAAATTTCGATTATATCACATGAAGCTTGCCTATTGACACTCTTTCGCTAAATAAACAAAATCTTTCTTTGATCCACACATACACACACTCAATCTCATTCTCTCTCTCTCTTTTTCTCTCTCTCTCTCTCTCGCGCGCGCGCGCGCCTTTTCTATTTTCAAATATTACAACTAATATATAACGCTTGATGACTTATCCAAAACTGACGTTTCTAAGCTGACTCCGAGCTTTATATAGAAAATAGTCCCACCCTCCAAATGGGATTGGATCGTTCTCCAGCCGTGAGCAATGGGTGAAGAAGGGACGAGAGCGAGAGGACTCTTGGTAGTAGGACTGAAGGTGGGTTTAGAGGGGCCTGTCGAGGGCTCGATGCGCGATACGCATCCCCCTTTGTAGTGAATTAATCGGTCGCTGCGGCCACGGGACTTTCGCCCCTTTTGTCACGAGAGAGCACGAGTGCAAGCAGAGAGGATGGGGCACGAACAGACGATCGGCATGGAAAGTCCGCGAGGACGGAGCGGCAGAGAGAACGATACTGAGGGATTGCATGGCTTATCGAGTCCACCCCGTTCTTTCAAACATGGTTTCTTCGGTAGATACTCCAGATAGACACATTAGTTTTTTAGTGAAATTATAAAATCACTATTTTAAAACTTCATGAAGATTAACAAACACCAGGCTACCTAGAAATTTGTTTAGAGACTTGCGAAGAAAAATATTTCGTAGTTAAATCACAATATTTACGTCACAAACAAATAATTTAGATAATGACTTTATTTGTATGAAAACTTTAATCCTTGAAGCGACTTATTCTTTTAAATAGAAAGAAAATAATACCGAATGACCATAAATGGATCTTCCACAAAATGTCAGTTTATAAAAGTGTCAGTTTATAAAAGTGTCAGTTTATAAAAGTGAACGAAAATTACAAAAAATACTTGCTAAAAAAACTTTTAATACCCATTGTAAATACTATTTTTTTCCTACCAAAAACGTTAATTCTCTGTCTATAAAACAAAAGAACTATAGAAAATGGCATCTTCCATTTAACGATTAACTTAGTACAATTTTATGAAATCAAATTAGAAATACCATTTTTACGCGAAATAATAAATACAATAAAACAAAAAATTACGTATCTTTGGAAGTAGGTAAATACCTATATGTGATAATTAATATTTAAAATGTTATTTGTGTCGAAAAAAATATTATATTGATTTATCAATTTTTATATTAATTGCAATCATTATTCGCGTACGTCACTTAATTTCACTGATTACTCAGACAGGCATAGGCATAGCCCGGTCACGGTTAGCTATATTGACAGAAAGAATAAATTATTTACAGGAACTGATGCGTTCGAAAATCAGCAGAGAGGCCACTTTAGACACAATGACGACCAGGATGAACAGAACGATTCTGAATGATCGTGTCCAGGGTGTCGCATCGTATGTGGAATATACCGCCTGTATACGGCAGCGAAGGTCTCTCCGGGGGTGAACGGCTCCGCAAAAGCACATCGTTGATTTATTGTAACATTTGAAGAAGGAAAAGGACAGGAAAAGGAATGTGAGAGAGAGAGAGAGAGAGAGAGAGAGAGAGAGAGAGAGAGAGAATGAAAGAGTGAGAAGAGTGAGAGAGTGAAAGAGTGAGAAAGTCGTGCCACACTCTAGAAGCGAAACGTTGCGTTCGTAGGTTCACCACCCACCCTTCTCTCGTCGCACTACCGTCGACTATCTCGCTCTCACAGAGTGTGACGACACCCTTCTGTCAAAACGATGTTCCTACAAAACCGGTCGGGCTATTGATACCGGGTTCTGTCCTTTGTCGCATTCGTCACGACATCATCGCCGCCAACCTTTCACCCGTCGCTCGAACCTCTGCGCGTTCTCCGTTTTACAATCTTCGTGGTATCGGCGAAAAGGCATCCTTCGGAACCTTGTGCAATCCTACGAGCGGCGCAAGGAACTCCTCTTCTTTTGCACACACGTCGAATACACGAAATTTACGTCAGTTTGAAGATGGATGAATCGATCGATCGATCAATTTTCGCGGTTACCTCCGTTTTCTCTTGCGGCGAGTCCCGCGATCTGTCTTACTTAAAATGCTGGAAATCACAATAAGAAGTCATAACTATTGGCATTCGTGCGTTGGAGTCATCAGGTTGTGTTTTCAGAAATAAGCGAGACATATACGAGAATATGTGCATAACTAACAGTTCGACAAATAACGTATTCGCAAATTTTCGTCGCAAATCGATCTATACGATCTATACGAACGCCAAATACCGTTTCCCTGGTGAATTCTCGCTGGTCTTTATTTATCTGCGACTATTAATAATTTTCATTTTTTGTTTTATTGAATTCAGTAATTGAACTAAAAATTTGATTCTTTATTCGACGCTGTAAAGATATATCTCATTTATTCACTAGACAGAAGTTATGAATTATCGTAGCATTTTTCTTTCATAGAGAGAGAGAGAGAGAGAGAGAGAGAGAGAGAGAGAGAGAGAGAGAGAGAGAGAGAGAGAGAGATAGAGAGAGAGAGAGAGAGAGAGAGAGGGAAAAGAGAGAGAGAGAGAGCATTTAACAAAAAAAAGAAATGTGATGAAATAAATTAAATAAAATTTAAATTAAATAAAAATTAAATTAAATTAAGGGTAGAAATATTCTTTTCCTGCATTTCGATATTTATTTCCTCTTCAACATATTTTTGTAGTAAATTGTTATAACATTTCGTTATTATAGCAATAAACAATCAGCTAAATTATAGTAAATTTAAATTTAATTTAATTCATAGAATTTTATAAAAAAGAGCAAACGGAATCTCGTGATTCGTTCTGCATATGCAACTCGCTAAACACGTGATATCTCGTGGGTCGTACACAATATATTAAGATTAAAAAATTCATCAAATCAATGCTTTTTTTACGATAGCTAAACGTACAGTGTACAATCGCTAGAAATTAGTCTATTTCGAGAGATTTTAAAGTGGGAAAAAGAGGAAACATGAGCCAACTGTAGATACGTCGTTTTGCGCTTTGTACTATCGTTCCTTGGCGTTTCATTGTGTATCTATCAATGACTGATGATGGATTAGACAGCTACGAATATCACAGACTTCGGCTTAATTCTATCAAATTTATTAGAAACGTGTTTTTTCTCAGTTTATTGCAGTTGCATTACGTTGCATCAAAAAAAAGTATTGTGCCTACGATCGACAACACAAAATCGCATGACATAAAAATCTAAATCATTTAAAAAAAATGCGGCTTAGTGTCCCAGATACTACATTTAATATTTGATCGTTGCAATATGTCCCGCGCTTATCTTCTTTTTATTATTCAATTTAACGTTTTCGAATAGATTCGATCGAAATACTTTTAAACGAACTACTGATAAAAATGTGTAAACAATATCAATAATACAAATAATATTTAATGTAAGAAAGAAACAATCGAAAAAAGATTTGCAAAAGATGCAAGAGGAAAGTATAAAAAGTATCAATCTAAATAAAGTTAAAAAGAAAGATAAGTATAAGAGCTACGCGATTATCAGTGTATAAGAAATTATATAATCGTAAACGAATTTAACCGCGACATTACGATTACAATAGTTTGTAATAATTAAATTGAAATCGAGAGAAAGAAAGAAAGAAAGAGACATGATAGTGTCTCACGTTAAGCGCATACTTAAAATAACAACATACGAACCACGAAATCTGCCGTGAATATTAACACAATATAGTTGAACGCAAATTTACCATTTGACCATAAGTAAATCGCGAAAGTTCTGGAAATAGATTCATAAAGAAACTATCAGAACTGTTCTTCAATAACTTTAATGGACTTTAGATATGTTGTAGAACATTAAAAAATAATAGACCCATATTTCTCTTAGCAGCGTATTTCAACGTTTAGAGATAAAAACAACCCCTAAAAAAACAATCTTTTTCATTTTTTGCAAATATTTCCTAAACTACGAGGTATGTGAAAAAATATTTCATACAAAAATTATAAAGTATTTTATATTCTTTGAAACGGTCTGTTCAAATTAAAAAGAAATGCAAATTTTTAATACCTACCCTCCCCTGGTCATGTTTGCAAATTTTTAAGTTTTTATAAGAACAAAAAATGAAAAGCATTGAATACTAGATTCATCTATATATTGAGTGTACAAGTATGATTTTACGGATTTTCAATAAATGGCGTATCTCATACTGGTGGCATTATGTTGAGGTTGGTATATTTGTATTGGAAAAGTCTGTACGCAGCTGTCAAACGTAGGTGCTATTTAACTGAAATATAAACAGTTATATTTATCGTATTGAAAATGTCTACTTTTGTACCGAATAAATGTCATTTGCGGGAAGTGTTACTGCATTATTGTGTTTTAAAGAAAAGTGCAACTGAAAGCCATCGTTTACTTATGGACGCTTACAAAGAACATGCTCCATCGGTAAGCATGTGTGAAAAGTGGTTTCAACGATTTGGAAAACATGAGTTTGATTTGGGTGATAAATCGCATGGAAAGCCGCTGAAAAAATTTGAAGACGCACAATTGGAAGTATAACTGAACGAAGATGCGTGTCAAACGGAAAAAGAATTGACAGCAGCATTAAATGTTACCCAACAATGCATTTCCTTACGCCTGAATGCCATGAGAATGGTCCAAAAGCAAGGAAATTGGGTGCTACACGAACTGAAAGAGACATCAAAAGAAAAACCACGTGTGAATTGTTGCTGCAACGTCAAAAAAGAAAGGGTTTTTTACATCGAATTATTAGTGGCGATAGTAAATGAATTTACTATGACAATCCTAAACGCAAACCAGCATGGATTAAGCTCAATGAACCTGGTCCATCAACGCCAAAGGGAAACATTTACGACAGCAAGGTTATGCTATCTGGCTATTAGGTATCTGGTGGGATATGAAGGGTGTGGTGTATTATGAGCTATTGCAACCGTTTGA